TGATTTCTTTATTTTTGGCGTTTGTTTAGATTTACGTTAAGATCTGCAAGATCTGCAAGATCCTGCAATTTTTATTGACTCCGGGAATCCTAAAAATCATCGGCGGTCCCGCCTTCACAACGGCCAATCAGAGATTATCGCCACCAATATTTAACAACACGTGGGTTGTTTTTTTTTTTTTTTTCTTTTAGAGTAAATCTTACGTTCTTACGTTAAGGATTAGTCAAAAGCCACTATTATTACTGTATATTCACATTCGATATAAAATTCTTATGAAATCCAAAATTTCTAAAAAGGTGGTTGATCGGCGCCAAAAAAGGTCTAGTGTAAGTGTATCTCCGAGCGGTAATAAAACTTTGTCGGGGTTATTTGCTCATTACTAAAAAAATACTGCATATCTATACGTTTCAAGAATGAAAACGAATCAAAAAATAAAAAAACAAAGGTTTGTATTACGTATTAAGAATTTGTTACGTATTATTGAAATGATTTTTAATTGGCACGTTTTGTTTTTAGAAAGAGCCAAGGTGTGTATATAGGACGTAATAGTGCATAATGTAATAATGGAATTCATTGTATCGATATCAATAATTCATAATAATGATGTCATATTATGTCATAACAGCGGATTTTGTAGAATTGAGTCCCAATAAAAATTTATACATTCACAATTATTCTTTTTTTCAAAGCAAATTCAAAGTCTTCAGTGAAACTTATGACAAAATGAAAGAAACCGAAAAATGGATTTTATCTACTGGCACTTGCGTAGAAGACGCTATCTACGATTATTGCATAAACCTTAATGAAGAGATCCTGCTACATTCATGGGTTATAGATTTGGAAGACACTGATGCTGAAAAATTATTCACCGAACCCGAATGGACTGAAATAAAAAATTCGATTCAAGTATTACCAAAGGTTGACGAAGATTTCGCGAAGTATCTGCAGCGTTTTTCGAATGTAAGTTGAAGTGTAGACGTTTTACGTTAATTATATAAATACTAACACCTTTTTTCAGATAAAGTCAAGTGAAGAGTTAAGAAATTTTTTGGAAACAACTTCATACAAAAGCAATGAAATACCATACGACAGAGAAACCCATTACGACTTTGAATGGGTCGAATTGGTCATGAAAAAATTGTAAGTATTTCTAGTACAGTATATAGATATATATATATTAAGATTAATACATACGTCCACATTTTATTTTAAGTTTAACAGAATACGAAGATAACAATAAACCCTTGCAAAGGTCACATTTAGAAGGGTGGTATGATGTCAACATATGGTCACTTATAGTAGATCATGGTTTAAAAAATATTCACGATCTGGAGATCGTAAGGTACTTGCTTTCACAAATATATACGTATTCACGGCCGTTTTTAACTTTTTTTTTTTATTTTACAGGAAAGAATCCAACTGTAAGTCTTCATCGGTAAAAATTAATCAAAGCCGTTCAAAGAAACGTCATAAAAAAATGACGAGAAAAAGAATTGGCCCAAAATTGGATGGGGTGTTCAGGATGTACGGAGAAATGGAATATGGGGCGATTGAAGTTGGAAAGGACTTCGACCAAACCAAATTACTTTCCGACAATTTTAAATTAGAAAAGGTTTTAAAGGACATGCACGTTCAACTATGTCAAAAAAATAATTCTCGAAAATTAAGGGTTCCAGGAATACTTCATCTGGGTAAGTAAAGAATCCTATTACTACAGTATTGATATCTAGCGTAACAAAACTAACTATATTTTAAATTTTAGGATTAAAGATGCAATCCATGCATCTATCTAATCCTAAAGGATACATATCCATAATTAAACGAGAAAATATTCATGAAGTTCCTTCAAGTGTTGAAAGGTTAAAGGACATGCTAAAACTCTTAGCGAATATTTGGCTTGTTAAAGTATGCATTTTTTTTTTTTTTTACGTTTTCTGAATATCATCGGTGATATATGTATGTTCATTACTATTCTCATAATATAAACAGGCAATCATACTAGAGTGCATCACAATTGTTAATGCGAGAAATGATAATTCAGGTTTTTTGAGAGAAATAATCAACATTGGAAATCAAGGAGAAACGAGGGGGATAATTCCACCATGGTCGTATTATTCCGATTAAGAAGCTTCATGTTAGGGCCAGTCTGTACTCACGAGAGTAATCAATTTAACATTTGTTTCAATTTCCCGTATGTAGTGTAATGTGTGTAGACCATACGTACTAGCTTTTTTTACTGAATGTAGTGATTTTTTAGAGTTTGTAACGTCTTCGTACAGAAGATCTACAACAAAAATTTCCTCGTAATTTCAAAAAGGAAATTTTCATCATAATATTAAAGTTTTTTTCGGCTGCTTATAAAGAGATCATATTTATATATATATCATGTTACCTAGATTTGTAAATATTTTTCAGCGAGATTTTTTACAGGACAGATGAATTGAAAGTCACTGATCATCTAAGACCGTACAAATGTTTCGTAACGAAAGAATTTTGATAAGATTAGAATTGATTTTATTTATTTAAAAAATAATTATTATAAAAAAAACCCCCAATAAATTTGGGCCATGAACCAGTAAAACCAGACCTACTATACAGATTAGTTAGTACCAGAATTTTGATTAGAATCGATTTTATTTATTTAAAAAATAATTATTATAACGAAATAGAGGGTCATTAACCAGTAAAACCAGACCTACTATACAGATTAGTTAGTACCACGAAATCGATGATTCCTAATAACATTATATAACTTTTGAGCGAAGGTATCTCGATAAAAATACATCTAAAATCAATAAAAGTTTTTTATTTTAATTATATGAACCAAAGAATTAAAATAAAAATTTCATCTGAACTTCAAACGAGGACATTTTGATACTACCTGTGTAAAATCGATGAAATTTTTTATTTTAATTTTCTACATTCATAGAATTAAAATAAAAAATTTTCATCGATTTTAAATAGAAAGTTATCAAGACATCCTCGTAGTTCAGAGAAAATTTAGGCGAATATCAAAGATTACGATAAAGATTTTTTTTCCAAACTTTGAATGAGGATATCTTGATAACTACCTATTTAAAATCAATGAACCTTTTTTTTTTTAATTCTCTGCATTCATATAATTAAATTAAAAAAAGTTTCATCGATTTTAAATAAATAGTTATTGAGATATCCTCGTTTGAATTTCAGAGAAATTAGGCCACTATCACTGCGGCAAAGATTTTTTCAAACTATGAGCAAGGATATCTCAATAATTAATCGAAGAAAATTTTTTTATTATAATTTTTCTGAACTCAGAATTAAAATAAAAAATTTAAAAAATTATTGATTTTAAATAAACAGTTATCAAGATATCCTTATTTGAGAAATTTAGATAACTATCAAAGATGGTTAGGGTATTTCAATAACCACAGGTTGAATCAGGTACATATCGGGAGACAAATCTCCCGATATGTACCCATTATTCTACCATAGATCCGCCAAATAACTGTAGCATATC